GCTCCTTCGCGGCTCTGCCTGTGGGAAAGAAACAAATAAAGGGACGCCCAGGCCACCCGCACGCCAGCAGTAGCCCAGGAAAAATAGTAGATGCAGGACGAGCCTCGGAAAGACAAGAGGTGACACGGGAGACAAGCGATGACACCAGTTGGAACGAAGATAAAGTATTTCTCTTATGAATCGAGGTCCTCAGTACACAGACATTGCGCCCTGGGCCCAGCACAAAAGACAGAACATATATATTAAAAATCCCGATTGATAGCACTTGCCAGATTTTGAAAGCTAATACCTGAGAAGTATTTCTTCGGAGCGTGTTTCTGTAACATTGACAACTGTTCGAAAGAAAATAAAAGAATGACACTCAAGAGTTACTGCGTCCCATCTCTGTGAGGTCCACTTTGTGCTCTCTGTCTGTATGGACCCTTCTGAGCTTCACTCCTGCGGTGTCTTGAAAACATTTCTCAAAGAAAGACCAAGGTAATAGGGTAGGTTTTCACAAGGAAGACAGAAAAATGGAGACTTTAAGCGATTGTTAAATGTCAAAAGAAATAGTCTCAATGCCTAGCTTACAATAGGAATGCACTACAAACCACAAAGCTAAGGGCCAGAACATTTTCTAAGCGTGACCTGTTACCCACGAAGCCTGGGAGGGGCAGGTGCGTCTTCATCTGCCGCCAGCTGGAGATTACATCCCCGGCTTTCAGTGCCCCAACACTGTTTAAAAGCTTCAAGGGTTGGGGGGATAATAAAAATGTCTTAACCACTTAGAGGAAATTTAATCTCCAACTTGTACTCTTGCCAAGAAGTAGAGATTAATAATTTTGTCTTAGAGAAGTGTCTGGGACTTTGAATGACCACGTGATAGTAAAGGCAGCACTTTCCGCAGAAGACCACCTGCTTTATTTTAAAACTGTTCCAGGACAATGGCTGAGCTGCTGCTTCAGTATTTTCCCTCAGTAAAATAGTGTGCACTTGACTTCTGACATCAACTGCATGAATGCTAGGCTTTTTTTTTTTTTTAAAGATTTATTTATTTGTGCATACAGAACTGGGGTACAGGCCAGAGGCTCAGGGGCAGTGAGAGGCTTCACCAGAGACAGAGTGGGGAACAGAACAGGCAGATCGATGAAGTACACTGCTGAGGGGAGCAGAGGGGGGGCCAGGAGAGGTCTGCCATGCCGTGTGGTCACCTCCCGGACAGGCGGGAATCGAATTCATGAGGAAGCAGCTTTAGATTCTCAGTACTGTGCTTTAACCCGCTGCGCCACCAGGGAGGGCCATGCTAGGCTTTTTTAAAGACATCTCAATAAGTGGGAATTGGGGGGAAATGAGAATTGAAAAGGTGCCTTTGCCTTTAAGTTCTGGGACTTCAAGCAAAAAACTAGAAAAAATAGATGCTAGATTAAGTATTTTTAATTTAATCTAAAAAGCAAAATTTCTTCATGAATGTCTTCTCTAGATACCAAGCTTGTAAAGACTACTTGCAGGTTATATACATATCTGTCTACAAGTACTAAAAATGTGTATAGTACTAATGTGCCAATCTTACAGGTGCTTCTAATAATTCATTCATTTATTCTTTATAACACCCCTATAAAGCCACTGCTATTATTATTGTTGGTTTACAAATGAAAAAACAAGTGTAGTAACTAGCTGTCAAGTGGTGAATCCAGGAATACAACCCAGGCACCAGAATCCAAAATATTTTCTCTTCACCACCAGGGCTTCTTGGCCACTCCACTTCATACTGTACATTCATCAACAACAAAGGCAGTTCAATTTACCAATTTTTAACTAGTAAATGTAATTTTATAGAGACAATTTCATCCCACTAGAATTCATTCTGTTACTAGAAAGTTAATAAATCCCCAGTTTTTTCCAAAACCTCTATTTTTCTTACCAACATCTCTTGTGATAGATTTGACCATCATAGAGTATTAACATTAAAAGAATTCTTAGAGATTACCTGCTCCAATTCACTCTCTTGGAATCTCTAAAACAATTTGTCTTGCAAGGATAAAATCACAAACACAACCAAGAATTATTGATGGTTTGGTAAAAACTAATCAACAAATGTTGACTGAACACAGGCTGATTTAAAAAAAAAAAAAAAACCTTTGGTGAGCAATAGGGCTTATGTAGACATGTTAGCAAGTTCTCTGTATTTTTATAAGTTATTTCAAAAGAATAATTATGTGTGAGGTTATGTATAGAATTGGAATAATTTCTAATGAGAAAATAAGTATATTTTATCTATATAAAGAATATCCAGTTATAAATCAATGCTTTATTTGTACTTCTTATTTACTGCTACCAGAATGGATGAACCAACAAATGACTGGGAAGGTTTATTTCCTTCTATGAATATCCATATTCCAGCTGCCCAAATAAACTGTATGTACTGCCTACGGACAGGAAGATTCAAAACAAGTTCCCTTCCTCCTACCAGAATACAAAATAATGCCTCTTAAATGAGCAACATTCGAAAACCACCTCTACACACTGTCCTGTAAGTAATCTTTTGTTCAACTTACCTATCAATGTTACAGAAGACAATACAGAGGAATCTCTGTAATTTGATATTTACAATATCTTATTTATCAAAGGCTATATAATGAACTGACTTTTGTGTAATAGACACTGGTTTTGCTTTCAAAATACCAATACCCTCAAAAGAGAAGAATCTTTAAAAGGTCATTATTTAAAAGACACCTTTGTAATCTTCTCAATGCAAGGCTGCTAATAACTTCGAACTTGTAAGGAAATATAAAGAATCTCCAATATGATTTGAACAACCTCATTCCATCATAAACACCTCCACATTGGCTATGGTTTTAGGCTAAGACATTCCCTCAGAAACCGGCTGGAGTAGCTTTTGTACCTAGTCAACAACAGTAGCTCACATTTCAACCCATGAGACAGTTGCTATTATACTACTAATGAGGAAACAAAAACACAATGAGATTAAATAAACTTCCAGAAGCCACAGATCTGTTGCAACCCAAATGAAAGCTAGGCATACCACCTCTACATTCCTCATCCACCACATTCTCCTGCTCTTCCTAAACCAGACATCTAGTTTTTGGCCCCTTGACTCAACCTATATAGAGTGACGTCCTGGGATTCACCGCTATTCCATTTGAATGGCCGGCTAGCTGTAGCTTTTTGCCTTGCCCCAATAATACCTACCTTGGCAGCAGGCCCAGGTACGACCTGATCTTCCCTTCCCCCAGGCACACTATAAACATTTAACCCAAAGAACTGAATTACAAGGGCTGAATTCCAAGCGCTGCCTTGATGGACCATGATTTCATCTGTGTTTGCCACTAGCTGTTCTCCTACCCCGCAGGAAAGTTTGCCTCTGTGGCCGGGTCCCTTATCTGCCAAACCAGCTCCCCCTACCCTATTTCAAGCTAAATGGTTTGTTCTCCCTGCCAGCCTGTGAAATTATTCAAACAGATCACATCCTTCCATGAGGATCTACCCTCAGCACTAGAAGAATGTGATTCCTACTGCCCTGGTTGGTCCACAATGCCCCCAAGTGCCCCTTGGGGACCCCTCCAGCATGACTTGCAGTGTCCTCCTGCCCTTCACAGAGTGTTTCTGACTATTAGAGTCTGTAAGTCACACCTGTCCAGGGTCAGGAGTTTGGTCATCCCATACTCATTAAGGACAGGGATCCTTTCCTCCTCAGTGGGGTAAATAGGCAATGGTGATGGTTCACAGGAGATGTGGTGGTAGGGATTTAGGAGCTACATATGAGCAGGAAAATGTAATAGTGTACAAAAATAAACAATGTAAAAAAAGAAGCTTAACAAAAAATAGGCAATGGTTAGAACAAGAAATGTCCTCAATCAAATGCTTCCACTTAGCTATTTCAATTTTAAAAATCCTAACTTGTGCCTTTTCCTATCTTCCCTTTTTCCCAAACGCAGGCTCTTCTCGACCTCACAGTCTTATTAAAGGGGAGTCATATTGGAGGTCAATCCCAGTTAAGCCTGGTAATGAGTTTCTTCCTCCAAGTAACAGAAGGAAACAGAGAGCTCCTCCCCAGAGTCACCTCAGATCAGGAGAGAGCAGTGGCTGAGCAAAGGCTGCAGAGGAAGATAGCCCAGAGCACAGCACACTTCACAGAATACACAAACCAGACACAGACTTGTAATGGACACGGAAGCAAGTGGAAAACTCTGATCAGCTAACAAAATTCAAGTGAATACTGTCTTGAAACACTTATCTACTGTTTATTGTACCTACCAAATATACACACTACTTAGTAGTGTGTATATTTCCAATCTCAAAACTCTCATTTTCTAATTATCAGGATTAATGCTACTAATACCATTTTAAGAGTTACTGTATTTCTCCCCCTCATTTTACATAATAAGGAAAAAGTGTCAGTGGTTTAACAACTATCCAAAATAACACAAACAATGAATAGCATTCTGGAAAATATTTGACATGTAGTATTAAAATTAATTTGATCTGAAGATATTAATATTTGAGGTGTTTGTCAGTGATTCTGAAATATTTTGATGAGCTTTTGTGTCACGTTTTAATAATTAAGCTTTTAGGTAAAAACTATAATTTCACAAAAGCATTAGGTAAATAAGCTATTCCAATGTAAAAATTTCAAAGATATTTCACACTGTATTTAATTTTATAAGTGTTATAGCTGCAACATCTAATAAAAGACAGCTTT